ATAAATAAATTTATGTAAAAAAAAATTTAAAAATTGTATGTGTGAAAGAAAATTTTGTACAAAAAAAAATTTATAAGTGAAGGAAGTGAAGGAAGTGAAGGAAGGAAGGAAAATATAAAAGGAAAAAATTTAAATTTTACAAATTAAATAATAAAAATGTTTTTCTGCTTGTATGAATATATGAAATAAACAAAAAAAATAATTATATTATAATTATATGTTATATATATAGTTTATAAATGTTCTTCACAAAAATATAAAAAAATTTAGAACGAAAAAATTTTTCTTTATAATTTTGTTAGGTTAGGTTGTAAAATACGAGTTTATTAATATTATTATTCATCATGATTATACAATTTAATCGAACCAAGGACTCGCTTCGCCCATTGCCCATCCAGCGACCATATTTTTTACATTAACTTCTTGAGATTGTTCAATATCTAATAAATCGTTTCTCCAACCATCATATTGTTGTAAACTATTCATCGAATTCCAATCTATTGAAGGACTAGGATCTTCTTCAGGAATAGCTATAATCGTAAGAATAAGAGAACAAAGATTAATATATATTATACATATATATATATATGTGAATATACATATCATGCGCGTAAAGAGAATAATTACCACTTATAAGTTCTTGTGAGTGTTGAGATAATCTTCGTTTAAGTAAACTTCCACGATAAATTAATTCTCTGTTATGCTGATGGAATGGGTTTGAATGAATGAATTCATCATCTTCGTCATCAATCTCTTGGAAATGCGTTAAATGCGTGGGCAGTATTGTAGTTTCTTGTCTTTGAGTAAATACACCTTTAGAAAAAAAGTCAAAAGATTATTATTTATTATTTATTATTAAATAAATAAATTTTATTTTTTTTTTTCGAGTATATAAAAAAAGCGAAACTTACTTTCAACTTTATCCCATGCTCTCTTAATAAATGATCTACTTTCCTCAATACTAATATTATATCTTGAATTCTGAATAACTTCTCCGGTATTATTACTACTACTACTACTATTACTATTATTATTATTACTGGATTCGCTCAGAGCATTATTTGACGTAGGAACTGAATAAAGACGAGATATTGTTTCGAATAAAGAAAGCATTTCAAGAAATTGTAATTGTAATAATATATAAACCCGTATATACTATCTATTTGTTATTGTAGAGCCAAGTTTTTAGATTCTTAATAATTATAAGCTTACAATATATATTTATATGTGTATATATATATTATTTTGTATTTTATAAAATTTTTTCTATAATTTATTTATTATATATATATACAAGCAAAGAAAAAAA